CCACCCCACCCCACCCCCTTCCATCAGTCACAAATGTCTCGACTTCTCTTCAAGATAGGTGTGTTATATTTTCCATCAAAAGCAAGACATATATGGACCAGCTTTAACTTTAAGCTGATACCAGTAACTAAAAAGAAACAGAAATTTGTAAAAGTTAGACAAAAACCACACACAAACAACTCCGTGCATACAAACTGCTTATCGTAACACCTCACCATACGCCATTTTGAAAAAAAAAGGACGTAAACACAATATATATATATACACAAGGCATTTACAGTCAAAGCAGGCATGGTCATAAAATGAAAATGGTGACAAAAATCAATCCTTTAGTTTGTAGACAAATCAAAGCATCAGTTTGACTCAATCACCAGTTGATTATTTTTGCTGGATTTCCTTTTCAACCAACAAAGACAATAATCAATTAACAAACAATCAAACAGAAATTAAGCTATGAGTCTTCAAACTTTTCTTGTATCACATCCTCACGATTTCCATTTTTTTTTCTTTTTCTGAAGGGCTCCTCATACGTTATTGCTTGTTGAAAAGTATCACATGAATTGTGTTGATGATGATGATGATGATGATGGTGAAGATGATGATGATGATGATGATGATGAAGAAGATGATGAGGAGGAGGATGAGGATGAGGCTGATGATGATGAAGATGATGATGATGACGATGACGATGACAAAGATGATGATCATGAAGATAATGGTTTAATACTTTAACACCGCCATAATCTTGTTTTAAGACCAAGATAGAGAGTTTTCACTTCCACACAGACACATATATACAAACACACACACACACACACACACACACACACACACACACACACATAGACGGCTGGACAAACACGTATGGCCGATATGAAACACCTGTGAATACACAAATATGACGACATAAGACGTTGCAGAACATCTGTCCACACCTTACCCTCAGTGCAAATACTGTTTAGGCGTGCACTGGCTTAATGAGTATCAGGTATTTTTGTCAGGGGATGAATAAATGGAAATTTTGTAGCTGGGCAAATACACCTGTCCTCTGTTATGATGTAATCATCTGTTTCTTTCTCTCCGTCCTTATTTTCGCCTCTGTTTGTCTCTTTCTATCTACCTTTTCTTCCTTCTTTCCTTCCTCTCTCTCTCTCTCTCT